ATGTCTATGTCTATGTCTATGTCTATGTCTATGTCTATGTCTATGTCTATGTCTATGTCTATGTCTATGTCTATGTCTATGTCTATGTCTATGTCTATGTCTATGTCTATGTCTATGTCTATGTCTATGTCTATGTCTATGTCTATGTCTATGTCTATGTCTATGTCTATGTCTATGTCTATGTCTATGTCTATGTCTATGTCTATGTCTATGTCTATGTCTATGTCTATGTCTATGTCTATGTCTATGTCTATGTCTATGTCTATGTCTATGTCTATGTCTATGTCTATGTCTATGTCTATGTCTATGTCTATGTCTATGTCTATGTCTATGTCTATGTCTATGTCTATGTCTATGTCTATGTCTATGTCTATGTCTATGTCTATGTCTATGTCTATGTCTATGTCTATGTCTATGTCTATGTCTATGTCTATGTCTATGTCTATGTCTATGTCTATGTCTATGTCTATGTCTATGTCTATGTCTATGTCTATGTCTATGTCTATGTCTATGTCTATGTCTATGTCTATGTCTATGTCTATGTCTATGTCTATGTCTATGTCTATGTCTATGTCTATGTCTATGTCTATGTCTATGTCTATGTCTATGTCTATGTCTATGTCTATGTCTATGTCTATGTCTATGTCTATGTCTATGTCTATGTCTATGTCTATGTCTATGTCTATGTCTATGTCTATGTCTATGTCTATGTCTATGTCTATGTCTATGTCTATGTCTATGTCTATGTCTATGTCTATGTCTATGTCTATGTCTATGTCTATGTCTATGTCTATGTCTATGTCTATGTCTATGTCTATGTCTATGTCTATGTCTATGTCTATGTCTATGTCTATGTCTATGTCTATGTCTATGTCTATGTCTATGTCTATGTCTATGTCTATGTCTATGTCTATGTCTATGTCTATGTCTATGTCTATGTCTATGTCTATGTCTATGTCTATGTCTATGTCTATGTCTATGTCTATGTCTATGTCTATGTCTATGTCTATGTCTATGTCTATGTCTATGTCTATGTCTATGTCTATGTCTATGTCTATGTCTATGTCTATGTCTATGTCTATGTCTATGTCTATGTCTATGTCTATGTCTATGTCTATGTCTATGTCTATGTCTATGTCTATGTCTATGTCTATGTCTATGTCTATGTCTATGTCTATGTCTATGTCTATGTCTATGTCTATGTCTATGTCTATGTCTATGTCTATGTCTATGTCTATGTCTATGTCTATGTCTATGTCTATGTCTATGTCTATGTCTATGTCTATGTCTATGTCTATGTCTATGTCTATGTCTATGTCTATGTCTATGTCTATGTCTATGTCTATGTCTATGTCTATGTCTATGTCTATGTCTATGTCTATGTCTATGTCTATGTCTATGTCTATGTCTATGTCTATGTCTATGTCTATGTCTATGTCTATGTCTATGTCTATGTCTATGTCTATGTCTATGTCTATGTCTATGTCTATGTCTATGTCTATGTCTATGTCTATGTCTATGTCTATGTCTATGTCTATGTCTATGTCTATGTCTATGTCTATGTCTATGTCTATGTCTATGTCTATGTCTATGTCTATGTCTATGTCTATGTCTATGTCTATGTCTATGTCTATGTCTATGTCTATGTCTATGTCTATGTCTATGTCTATGTCTATGTCTATGTCTATGTCTATGTCTATGTCTATGTCTATGTCTATGTCTATGTCTATGTCTATGTCTATGTCTATGTCTATGTCTATGTCTATGTCTATGTCTATGTCTATGTCTATGTCTATGTCTATGTCTATGTCTATGTCTATGTCTATGTCTATGTCTATGTCTATGTCTATGTCTATGTCTATGTCTATGTCTATGTCTATGTCTATGTCTATGTCTATGTCTATGTCTATGTCTATGTCTATGTCTATGTCTATGTCTATGTCTATGTCTATGTCTATGTCTATGTCTATGTCTATGTCTATGTCTATGTCTATGTCTATGTCTATGTCTATGTCTATGTCTATGTCTATGTCTATGTCTATGTCTATGTCTATGTCTATGTCTATGTCTATGTCTATGTCTATGTCTATGTCTATGTCTATGTCTATGTCTATGTCTATGTCTATGTCTATGTCTATGTCTATGTCTATGTCTATGTCTATGTCTATGTCTATGTCTATGTCTATGTCTATGTCTATGTCTATGTCTATGTCTATGTCTATGTCTATGTCTATGTCTATGTCTATGTCTATGTCTATGTCTATGTCTATGTCTATGTCTATGTCTATGTCTATGTCTATGTCTATGTCTATGTCTATGTCTATGTCTATGTCTATGTCTATGTCTATGTCTATGTCTATGTCTATGTCTATGTCTATGTCTATGTCTATGTCTATGTCTATGTCTATGTCTATGTCTATGTCTATGTCTATGTCTATGTCTATGTCTATGTCTATGTCTATGTCTATGTCTATGTCTATGTCTATGTCTATGTCTATGTCTATGTCTATGTCTATGTCTATGTCTATGTCTATGTCTATGTCTATGTCTATGTCTATGTCTATGTCTATGTCTATGTCTATGTCTATGTCTATGTCTATGTCTATGTCTATGTCTATGTCTATGTCTATGTCTATGTCTATGTCTATGTCTATGTCTATGTCTATGTCTATGTCTATGTCTATGTCTATGTCTATGTCTATGTCTATGTCTATGTCTATGTCTATGTCTATGTCTATGTCTATGTCTATGTCTATGTCTATGTCTATGTCTATGTCTATGTCTATGTCTATGTCTATGTCTATGTCTATGTCTATGTCTATGTCTATGTCTATGTCTATGTCTATGTCTATGTCTATGTCTATGTCTATGTCTATGTCTATGTCTATGTCTATGTCTATGTCTATGTCTATGTCTATGTCTATGTCTATGTCTATGTCTATGTCTATGTCTATGTCTATGTCTATGTCTATGTCTATGTCTATGTCTATGTCTATGTCTATGTCTATGTCTATGTCTATGTCTATGTCTATGTCTATGTCTATGTCTATGTCTATGTCTATGTCTATGTCTATGTCTATGTCTATGTCTATGTCTATGTCTATGTCTATGTCTATGTCTATGTCTAT